AGGCTTTCGAGCCTATACAGCTTGGAGTAAGACAACATGCATGAAGAGGATGATGTGGACAAAATACTCATTTGCCTAATAATTCTGCACTCCCTGTAGTTACTTGTCAGTTTCTTTAGTGAAACGCTGACAGATGAGCTTTTTGTCAGACTGATTTAGTTTGTTGCTAAAAATGATTTGGTACTGGTACTTCTATTCAGAATTCTTTCACGTCAAAGCTTATTTCAAAATACCCCGGTCTAGTAGTAGTTGTCATAAGTTGTCAAAGTACCAAAGATCATACAGTATATCATAAAAAGGAAAGTTTCCCTCTAACAAATACACATGTATTTGTGCTTTTGTAGAGCAATTTTGAAAATAAAATACTAAACAGTACAAATAACTGAGGCAACGTCAGAAAAAACATGTTTATTGCTGTTTATCATGTGAGAAGATTAAGCAAAGCAAGTTACTAGATCATTTTGTAATTGACCGAGTTAAATGAAATTTAAAGAAAGCCAAGTGAAAGTTAAACTATAAAAACATTAGATCTTGCAGTATCATTAAGAACTTTCCCCCACATATCATGCATCGACATCAACAGTACAGTTTGCATTAGCATGTATTCATAACAGAAGCCACCACAGACGTCTTTGCAGTTGATAATGGCTATTCAGCTAGATGATAACCTTTGAAACAGGAGACTTGCGATACATGAGCCTGAAAGATTAAGATGTCTCTGGGATGTCTTTGAAGAAGTCAAAGGTTGCCGTACAGTTGATTCTGCAAGAATTTTGAGTAAAAATTTATTCAGTTTTAATCTAAAATGATTCTTAAATAATTAGCTTTTTTGTTTTTTTCCAAACACAACAAAACAAACCAAATTAACTTTAAATAAATCAAAGTCTACGTAGCAGGGATTTGTTTCAAAAAAAGTTCATCCATATAAATAATTCAAGTTCCTTACACTAACCTTGGCATTGTTATCAAGCATAACAAAATAAATTACTTTAGAGAAAGTATAACATTTTTAACAGATTAAGTAATAATCTGCGATGGAATCAGTCTGGATGTTGTAATGTTATTTAATGAAAAAAGTCTTAAATTTGGTTGATTTGGATTTTGTCATTCACTGCAACACCACTAACCTCAGGGTTGAAAGGGGATGGTCGTCTCCTGTTACTGTATCAAATAACATAGAAATGGAAGCAGGTTGTTCAAACATAAAGAAATAAAACACATTGGTATGTCATTTAAAGAAAAATTGCATGAATAAAACTCACTCCTTTGGGGATGGACAGCGTGGTTTGGACACAGCTCCACAGGTTACATTGCTGCTGTTTTTACAATGGGGGTTAAAGAAAATAACATGTTAGTTCATAGGTGTCAAACTCTGAGCTGGCCTACTGGTATTATACAGCTAATATATATATTGTTTAGTATTAAGCTTTGCTTGTTCCATATTC